CATAGAAAGTAAATATTAATGTTAGTTGAGATTTTATGATGTCTTCTCGAGTTTGTTTAACTTTTATTAATATTCTTAATGTTATGAATTTTGTAATCATACAAATTAAATGCTATTTAAATGTATATAACTTATTGAGCCTCATAGCTCACCAGTATACTTCTTACTGGTTGTTGTTATAGGAAAAGGAAAAGAAAAGATCGATGCTGACTAGGTCGTAAGTATTTCAATTTTATATGCTAGTTTTTAAATCTGTGTAAAGACTAAACTTAAGCTATGGAAACATTCCATAGAAGTATTATTTTGGATTTATGTAGTGGCTCTGTAAGTGTTTCTTTGTTAAAACTTTAAATTATTAGATACTTCCGTTGAGATAATTGAAATATTAATGGATACTATTGTATCACTTTCCAAGAAAAAAAAAAGTATCAGATGTTTAATGATGAAAAATGTAATGTTTATGCATTTTACACTCTACAGTACTGTTAAGAGGTACTGTGGAGTGTTACAATCAAAGACATGTTATATGTCCTAGAAAGTTTTCCTTAATACCCTAATTAAAGTAGGACTTACGACATCTATTAGGGGGAGGCCTAACGACCTTAGCTTAGCGAGGATTTAGCCCCATTAGCCCTTAGCTTCTAGTGTTGTATACTATAGTTTTTTTCCTTTAGCGGTAACATTTGACCCACAGTACTAGCTTTATTTGTTTGTTTTGTATCAATACTTAGCTTTACCTACAATACTAGTTTTGTTTCAGTTCCAGTTTCCTTTTTTAGTACTAGTTTTATTTACCACCCTACGTTGACTTCTGTTTACTTATTTTAGGGCATTCAAGGCTAGCATAAGAGGGAGTTTGCAGCTGCAGTTAGAAGTTTTGGAGAGTTGTTTGTGAGTTTTTTAGAGTTTCTTTATTTTGTTTTTAGTATTTTAGTTTTAGAAGTTTGGTGTTTAGTTGGTGTGTGTTTGTACTTAGATTGATTAGTATGAACATTATTCTTTTGTTCTTTAATTAAATGAATTTTAGTTTTAATTTAGTTAATTTAAAGTTTTTAAAATTTTTTAATTTAAAATTAACTGCTCAGCTGGTTAATTTAAAATTTTAAAATTTTCTATATGATTTTCAATCTAATCAATTAATTAATTAAAAAAAATTAGTTTTATTTTAAATTAATTAGTTTACTTAATTAGAGTTTGATTTTAATTTTTTTAGTAATAATTAAATTAAATTTTAAATAATAACTTCGAGGGAAGAATCGACCCTGGAATGTCTTTGACTTCTCCAATTGAATGATTGCTAGTTTTTATGCTTTCGTTAATAATAATAATTATTATAATTATTACTGCTTTTATTATTATTATGATTATTTATAATAATAAGTATTATTATTATTAAATGTTCATTAATAATAATAATAATCAATTTACACCAAATCTCTCTTTCTTACTCACTGTTTCAAATCAAGAAACACTAGACGAAGGACTCGGGCATGTAGAACGGACCAGAAGAACGAAGACGAAAGAGGGAGTTTGGCAGCTTGATTGTGCGGAGGGAAGACAGGATCGAACCTCATGTGAACAAGGGCCGCGTGTGCGGCACGGCTAGGATCGGCGATCGGGTTCGCGTGAGGCGGAGGGTTGTTCATTTGGCTTGCAGAAGGAAGCCAACAAGTGGACGGGCTCCGTCACAAGTGGGATCGACGTTGCTTGGTGCGGTTCTAATAAGGACTTAATGATCTGGTTCAAGATTTATAATAGACATAAGCTTCCATTGTTAATTATTTCTCTCGATTGTGAGATTGAAAGTTTAATTAAGGCTAGTATATAGACACTAAGATCCTTTGCTTTTTGTAGCAGCAACTTTGGTTAGGGAAAAATGTACACAACTATTGGCTCAAAGTAGATGATAAATAAATGATAATGAATCCTACATGATACATGATATGACATTACCTCAAGAGCAAAAAGGCCTGGTAAGCTCAGAGATCCCCTCAATAGCGAGAGGTGCTATGTGATAGGGAGAGGGCCAGATGAAATAAGGGAGTTTGAGCAAGTATTTGTGCAGTAGTTCATGCATATGAATAAAGCTGTTTAATGTCGAGTGGAGCATGATAATGGTGTAAACCAAAAACCTAAGAGGACTATTTCCTTCCTAAGGAGAGGTAAGGTTTAACTTAGTTCGATCTTTCCAAGTCTATAAACCCTAGATATAGCTATTAATGTTCTATTAAGACAAACTTGTGCTCGTGCTTACTGAGGAGATCTTTGAGCTTGCAAGGCCTTGAGATATATATATATATATATATTATGGACTGGTTGGGTTGCCTCAACCTGGAGGATATTCGTAAATTCAAGTCTGATTTACTTGGTTGGTGACTATTTTATAAGGCTTATTGAATCTCATCATATTATTAATAAACTATCTTTAAAAGCATACTATACCAAACATCCACTCAGGAAAGTAGGCGTGAATTGGCTCCTCAACTTGTGGATTTTGGCAAAGAGTTGAATTTGAAGGTATACCATCATATTGTTCATCCTACAAATTTTTCTGGCGTAATTTTTTTGAATGCTTGATGCACATTTGAATTTGAAGAAATCTGACGCACAGCATAAAAGGTAAAATCAAAAGATCAAATTCGAACTTATACCACTTGGGAGGCCACTCCTTCAATAGATCAGCAAGCAATTCAAACTTGGAACTAGTTTTAAATTCTCTTTTGGAATTAGAGGCTATTGTGCCTACTCCTGCTAGTCCTAAAGAGATGATTTCTATTACATCTGCAAGCATTATTATTGATCCTAATCCACCTATTCAAGTAACACCTCACCTCCCCCCAATTTATGAACAAATCAATGATCAAGATTTTCTTAACAGTCTAATTATTCAAAAGAAAGCATTCAATGTGTAGACACTTTGGTTGATAAAAACTCTAATCTTTTCTACCAAATGGGGCAGAAACTGAAAAAATAATAATCATCACGCCTTTTTCTTCACCAGGCGTCAAGTAAAGGTCTAAATGATTCTTTTGTAGTTTTCATGTTTCTAAGGATTTTCTATCCTAGGCCATCATGATATCTTTTCTTTGGCAATTCTTGATAATTGTCCTTGTTGTACTCATCTCTTTTCTATTTATGATATTTTACTTTAAAGAAAAATAAACTAAGACTGCCCTAAAGTAAGCCAAAAGTTCAACTAAAAATTTGACCCATTCAAGTGAAATCGAAATCCATGAACTCAAGGTCAAGTTCTTTCCAAGCAAGAGAGAAAAGGATGATAAACAAGATAGTTGCCAAATCAATGGGATCCACAACAATAGATAAGGCATGAGAATTAACACCAACTCTTAAGAACATAAGTAGGGGGTTTGATACTGCAAAAATGAATATGATGGACTTCGGCCAAAAAAATGTGAAGATTTATTTTTCCACTAAGTGATTTCAAGAATCTCAAGTTTCATGCATAAGGAATTCAATCTAGAATTATCTCAGTGAGACTCTAAAAGCCATACAAAAAAAGCCTAACCAGCATGATTACATGAAGTTCTATCCTAATTCAGAATAATTTAGCATTTATGAAATACAGGTCCTGCTAAACATCGCTTGTTTGAGTGAAAGTTGCAGATATGTTACACGAATGCATTTTATTACAAATTAATAATGTCATTAAAGGTGAATTTTAAGGGGAAGAAATTAACCATACCCAAAACTTGCATAATATGAATGCTCCTGAATAGCCATTATCTGAACAGCATTATATCCAAGCTTCTTAATTCGGGGCAGAACATCATCTCTGAAGCTAGCATATGTGTTGATCTTTGGCTCCTACACGTGAAAATTAACTATTTAATAATAGAAGTTCAGGGAGACAAACTGCTAATTGTAGCTATAAAAAGAGGAAAGTTTAGTCATGCTTTAGAACAAGAAACAAATTCCAACGGAGCATTTATCCATGTAGAAAACACACCATGAAGAGTTTCAACAAGAGAATTGCGTAAAAATAATAATAATAATAATAAGTAAAAAAAACAAAAAATAAAATAAAAAATAAAAATAAAAAATAAAAAACAAGAGAATTGCGTATAGACAATCAACATTACAGCTATCACCTAAGTTATTTATAAACCAATTGATCAGAAAAAAAATTTATATGTGAAAAAAGGCCTAGCACGTAAATAGGAACGCATTGGAAAAGTTGTTCGGGCAAAAAATGTGAAAATTCAAAAACTCTTTCAATTTCAACGCACAAAAGATGCAAAGCTGCCTCCAACAGTGACTCAGCGACTTTTGTGATTCCTCTCAATTTGGGATCTCTGTGATTACTCTCTGCTCATCCGATTTGACCCTACTTGGTTTTAACATTGGCTTTTCTATTCATTTAGTGTTTGAGTCATGAGAATTTGACTCTTAATAGGACACACTGGAGAAAAAAAAATTCATGCAGCAGGCCCCACATAGTGAGATAAATATTTGTTGTTTTTGTTGTTGAAGTGGAAATGATTTGTTGTATTTGCATTTATCCTTCTGCAGCAGGTGATCTTCCTCAGATTGTCTCTAGCAAGCTTCTCTTGTGATTTTATCGCAACTTGTGGGTCTACTGGAAATCTCCACCATGATATTTGTAGTTGTACTAGTAAATGGAGGCAAACAAAAGAAACTCCGCACAACATTAAGAGTGTTAAAAATACAAAATTTAGATCTAAAAAAGCAAATCATTACATCAATAATCCAATTAAATAACATAAATGCCTTTTTGCAGAAAATAGGATTACAAAAATAATGATGGACCTTAAATGCAAACCTAATCATATCCAAACCAATAAATTTTAAATTAAACCTGTTTTAATCGAAGGATTCAGGTGAGTGGTAACCTTTGAAGTGTGCAGCATCTACATTAAGCTCCCATGTAGAGTAGATGCGCACACGTGCATGCAGTGCTAAAGATCGCACAGACATGAGCAGGGAAGAGCTCAGGAGGGTTTGGTGTTGAGGATTTAGGTGTAGCGAGTGTTGGAGGTGATAGAAAGCACATGAGAAATAGAAGGAAAAAGAACCTTGCTGAAATTTAATTCCAGCAACTTGTAAAACAGTAATTTAGAATGTATTGGTGGAATAAAAAGAGAGAAACTCTTCAATTGATAGTAGATGGAAGAAAAACAAACAAGGTACAATGAATCCCCAATTCGAGAGGCAGATCCGGCTCTTCCAATCCCTACCCGCTGGCTATAGCCCAAACAAATATGAGAAAACTCCTAACTTCAGTAAAAACAGAGATTCTTCCCAGCCCTAGGTTTACTATCTTACTTAAAGCAACCCAAAAACAGTAAAATAACAAAACAACCCCCTTAATTTGAATTTCCCCCCTAATCCCCCTCTTAATTAATACATTAATGCATGGACCCCACCACCAAAAGAGGCCGAACTCCTGTGGAGGTGGAAGTAATCAGCCTCCTTTTATAGACCTCGGCCGATCCAAGTCTAGGGACCGGTCTAATAATACCCCCTTCCAAAAACTCACATTGTCCTCAGGGTGAAAAGACAGGAACTAATGCTACGCCCTCTCGTATGGCTCCTGGTGGTGTCATAGTAGGTAGGTTCTTCCATTTGATCAACACTTCCTTGATTCCTCCTTCTCCTTATCATACCCCTTTCAGCTTCAGCGGTTCCAACCCCACCTCCAAATCCTCAATCAGGGACACTGGTAACTCTGAACTACCTGCATGATCCCCAATAGATCTCCTCAGTTGTGACACGTAAAACATTGGATGTATAGTAGTGGTCGATGGTAATCTCAAGCGATATGCCACAGCCCCAATCCTCTCCAATATCTCATATAGGTCAAAATACCTAGGGGCAAGCTTATGATAGGAAATACTTGAGTTCGCAAGCAACCCTAGCAATAATTGATAAAAACAACGGAAACAATGCGATAATCTAAATGAAATCAATCCAAAATGATAGATTGTAATAGTGGATTCAAAGCAAAAGCAAACACAAAGCAAGATATAATTGATCCTCAATTCGAGAGGAGGATTGTTCTCTCCCAATCTTCAAACCCCTACTTATGGCGAACCCCCATCAACTCTAAGGGTTCCAGAATCACCTATAAATCCTTAGTAAGTGTCATCGGTAACTCCAAGTTGGCTGTATAATCTCTAATGGTCCTTCTCAACTGAGATACATGGAAAAGCGGATGTAAAGTCGTCATTGGTGGTAGTTTCCTCCGATCCAAAGCATAAGGTCCAA